AAAAAAAAAAAAAAAACCATCACGCTTTTCTGGCACTAGAGACATCTGAACACTGGTGATAACATTAATATGAAACAACAGGTCAGTGCCTAGACATTCCAGGTAAACAAGCTTCTACTGTATTTTCAGGTCCTCAGACACCTGCAGGCCTGCTCTTTTCTCTCAGCCTAGAAACCCCGAAGGCTGTGACCCTTTTCCTCCATGCGCGGCCAGCTCCTGTCTACCCTTCGGGTCTCAGATGAAGTGTTACATTCCCCCGAGATGCCGTTAGAGGACTTGGGCATGCTGATCTGTAATTATCTGTTTACTTGTCTCTGTCCTCCACTGGACTGTAAAATGAGGGCAAGAACTGTATTTGTGAATTCACATTTTATCCTGGAACATAGTAGGCATTCAGCTCTTTGTTGGATGAATAAATGAATGAATGAAGATGACTCAGAGGAAGAAATTAAAACCACCCGAGCGAGGTAAAAATGGAACGCTAGAAGGGCCTGTGAAAGTCCTGTATAACCCAGGGGTCCTGGGAAAGTTTCGTAAATAAGAAAATGAACAGAAAGGCCTGTCCCACGTCCGGTTTCTAGAATAAGAGCTCCTACGGAAGAAGCGCCACCTTGAGCTTTTCCTTCCTGTCTCTCTCCAGGCAGCGCCGGCAGTTACCCCTGTGGACGAGGAGAGCTCAGATGGGGAGCCAGACCAGGAAGCTGTGCAGAGGTAATGTGACATCTGGCAGTGCTCGCAGAGCGTCCTTGGGCAGGCTCCCCCTGCAACCAACGAAAGGTCACCTCTGCCCAAGGAGGTGGTACAGTTCAGCTTCAACATTTGTGTGGTCTCTTTGCTCAAGCCAGATGGCATGTTCCTCCCCTCATGGAAGTAACAGAAGACTACCCAGAAAATGTCATTTCTGTAAGCACCACTGGAAGTCCCCTAAGTGACAGCAATAACCATAAGAACTTTTTCTCTCCTCCCTCCTTCCTTACTTGCCCCCTGCCTTCATATTTGCAACTCTGATAGTATTCACCAGGCGCAAAGCCTGCTCCTACCTGCCAAGAACTGTTTACTGAAAAGGAATTGGCGATCTGGGATGACAGTGATCCTAGCTAGTGTGGCCATGGACCTCTGGCATGGACTCTTCCTTTCCAGGAGAATGAATGCCTCTCGTACTGTTTGCCGTGTGCTTCTTCCATCCCCTTGTACCAACAAAGAGATCATGAAAAAAGAATATGGGATTCGGGCCAGGGACAGATGCAGATATCCATTGTTTGCAGAACCTTGTTGAGAGATGCCTAACTCGCAGAGAGTGGCAGTGACCATCAGGCGTGCTGTACTGTTCACTTTACCTCAGCCCCCGTTAGCCGTGGTCTGCAGCCCCGTGCATGCCCCCCCACCCCGCCGTGGGAATTGTCTTTCTTATTTCCCGGGAAGGGCCGGGGCGGGGGTGGGGGCGGTTTGGACCAGAATCCAGCATGTATTCTCCCAGAAACACAGGTGTCCTTCAAGATTATACGTTTTTCCCTTGAGGGAAGTTGAAATAAAATGGTTTTCACGGGCTCTCGGGGAAACTTTGGGTGTCTTTATCAAATGGGTATGAAACCGCTGATGGCTTTGTCTTGGGCCAGTTGACATACCACCAATCACTCTATAGTCCGTTAACTGTTTTTAGCTTAAATGGGCAAAGTAGTTAAGAAGGAAGCAAGACCACTTTTTAAGAACCCGACAGTTGCCAGTACTCTGTTCTTACCCCCAGCAGCTCTGTATGTGAGAGCTGCTGTTCAAAAAGAAGCTGGTCCCATTTGGAAAGAAGAGTGGAGAACAGGGTGTTGGCAGGCAGGTCAGCCAATAGAAGAAAAACTGTGGTAACCTTTTTTTTTCTTTTCTTTTTTCCCCTCTTGATGCTGTCGTTTCTATAGTTTGCTGATGGGCCCTGCTGGTGTCCTGGAAAACAAACAAACAAACAAACAAACTAGGAAACTTCCTGCCTTTCTACGTAATTAATTAGATAGTTGCGTATCACTTTATCTTCTTTGTCTTGGATTTTACTTCCTCCGGCTCCACCTTCTTTTTTCTCGAGACCAACATTTAAAGGGTATTTAGATGGGGTACATCAGCCCATCAGTGCTGATGTAATGGGGAGGGATAATGCTTCTGTGCACACCCAGGAAGAGCATCAGTGACAGGAGGAAGCCGTCAGCTAGATGAAGGGGGGCCCATAGCTTATGTTTGCTATTGACTAAGTAGTGCATCCAATAGATCATTAGAATAAAAGTCATTAGCTTGTCAATTCCTAAGCTTTTGAAACTTGAGTTTTTCTTGCCTTGCCTTTTTTTCCCCTAAAACCAATTCTGAACATTTCATGTGGTTTCATTTCTTCATCCTCTAGAGAATGTGGTTCCCTCGGGACGATGTCCGTTTCTTCTCTGATGATTGACTTACAGTCATGGGGCAGGAGGGAAGGGGGGTTTTGAAAGCGCTCAGCCACAGTTGGAAGGACTTACAAGTGAGGACAGTCTCAAAACCCAGGGGCCATTGGGATCTAAAGACTCCATGGAGCCCTTCTGAATATCTCTCTTGGCTCATCTCTAGGAATAACTCTTAGGGCTCATTTCCTCCGACTTGGATTTTGGAAATTTGGAGGGCAAAGAGGAATAAAATTAACAAGTGGGAAGCAAATTCTTCTTTCAAATGGCACGCAGTAAGGAAAATCGATCTTCTTTGTGAGCTCCCATCTGTTTTCTCTCTTCTCTCGGTGGCTGCTCTCAGGTCCCGAATCCAGCCGCTGCAGCGGTAAGCCAGCTTTTGTTGGCCAGCTGAACGTGTCTCACTTCCATCCAGCCAGGGATCTGTTTGCCGCTGAGCCCTTTCTGAGCTCTGGCACGATTTCATTCTGAGTGCTTTGGATGAACTTCTGATGCTTCTTGCTGAGGAACATTCCTGTCTGTCTTTTTTACTATGAAATGTGTTCCTGCCTGTTGCAGGTACTTGGCAAATAGGTCCAAAAGGCACACACTGGCCATGACCAACCCTACAGCTGAGATCCCACCGGACCTACAGCGGCAGCTAGGACAGCAGCCTTTCCGTTCCCGGGTCTGGCCTCCTCACCTGGTACCTGATCAGCATCGGTGAGTAGCCACATGAGCTACATGAGCTCCTCGAGGCTCATCGGGCAGGCACCCTCCTTGCTGTGCTTCCAGTGACGGTGACCCGCATCGAGGCTTTAAACAGCCTCCTGAGCTCACATCTTCTCAGCTCCTTTCACTAAGCAGTGCGCAGGGCAGTACGAGATTCTTCTTTCCCTTTCCCTTGTAGACATGTTTATGGTCTGCAGTTGGTTCTCGTGATTCTAGGTGTTGACTCAGAGATGAGATTGAACCTGAAACCTGCAAGGAGGCCAGCTGGAAATGGGAGGATTTGTAGCCATATCGATAGACTGGGCCCTTAGTAACCCGTCACCTTCCAAAGCCTGAGCATTTCTTACCATGTCACCACTGAACAGTGAGCTTGGACATGGAGGAAGGACCATCCCTTTGTGAATGGTGGAGCAGAGATACTGCATTCTCTTGAGTGTTGTGCTCAAGAAGTCATTCTTGCAATAATATTCTGAAGGCTGAAATCTTTTACTAGGTCTCTGTTACATTTGTAATTCATCCTCTTGAAGAAATAACAAGCTTAAGCTTCCTGGCCAAGGAAACGTCATAAAACTGAGTACAAGTAAGCCTGGGAGCACAGGGGAGTGACCCCTGCCTCTGGCTTAAGAAGGTGACTACCTTCTGCAGACACTTCGACGACTACAGTTCTTAGCTGTGTCCACCCCAGAGCTGTCCCCCGTCTCATGGGCCACACTTCCCAGGCCGCCATCGATTGCTAGAGCTCATTTTATTTCCATCTCGTTGGGAGGATGGTGAAAGCAGCCTCACTTGGGAAAGTTGAAAAGCAGTCGGGTTCCAAGGAAAGGAAGTTTGTGGATGCGTTGTTATTAAATCTGGTCGCCAGCTCACACTGGCGAGCTTGACAACAGTGTTTTTATTGTGACTAGCTCCCCGTCAGGCGTCCACACAATCAGCAGGGACAGGTGGACTCTGTGCAGACCGAGACATAATCAGTGCTGCGTTGGCAACTCTGAGAGAAGGCAGATAAGCTCTTCTAGACGACCGTGAATAACCGTAAAAATGGTCTGGTAGGGACTAGCAGGAATGGCGGCTCTCAAATAGAATGGTGTCCCTGGCCCGGAGAGACAGTGTTGTTCCGAGGAGGATCTCTCAGGACCTGCGCTGTGAGGGCACTGCACGGAAAGGTCCTCGGAGTAGTTATTGGAGGGCTGCCCCTCCCCACCCCACCCCAACCCCCGCCATAAATTTTCTGTGATTTCTCAACAGCTCTGAGCTCTCCACTGTTACCTAACAGAACCTCTGTCTCTTTGTTCCTCCTTGTTTCTGTCCTCCCTGCCTCCACAGCCTGACAGTTTTTTAGCCTCTGTCAGGGTCTGCAGTTGAGCTGAAGTCCGTCGGGTGTCCCGACTTGATTGAACGCGCTCCTCAGGAGATAGTCTTCGTGGGGAAACGTGAAGGTCGGCACCTGCCCCACAGTCAGCCTTTATCGCGGAGTCTCGGGCCTGTTTACGCTTGTTTAGTGAGGAAGGCCACGGTGGCAACAGCCCCGTTTGTGTCATGGCTCCCTGTCAGGGCCTGGCCCACTGAAAAATCTGTCCGCCGTCTGCTTTCGTGTGGACGCTCTCGGTAGAGTGTTTCAAGGGTTTCCTGTGGTCAAGCGAGTTTGAATTGGAATGAACGTTCGATGAGTGGCACCTTGTGTGAGGTGGGGCACTGATACAAACTGGTGTGTGCGGAGGGGGTTACTGTAAAAATATGGCAACACCAGAGACCGAAATCGGTCTTCAGAGGAAAAGAGAAACTTTGCAAAGCCGTAAAACACTGGACTTGAGCGGCTGAGACAGATTATTGAGTCCCTCTCATTTTCTGGAGGAAATGGCTTAAAAACAGCATAGACATCTGTTCTTCCGGGGTATAATTCATGAAGTCCAGTGTGGGGACAGAAGAGGGGTCTCCTCAACCTTTTCAATCCTGAAAGTATAATTTAAAATTAAAAAAAAACAACAACAACTTATTTTAAGTGTAATTTAAAAAACGAACACAGAATGGATTTTTTTTTGAGGTGGGGAACCAAGTTCCTGTTTGAAAAGTGTAGTGGGAATATCAGCCTCATAGGAGGCTGTCCCGAGCTCGAACGTGATTGCTGATAAAAGTAAAACACAAATCGGTCTCGTCAGTGCTTCCGAAATGAGCAACTGCATCGGAACCGTCCCTCTCGAGTTTCTGTGCCGGACTGACCTGGGTCGGTCCTGAGCTTCTGGAAAAGTCATGAAACACCTGGGCCTGGGAGTTGCCACTCTGACAGAAGAGAGTGGGTTTTGTGCAGTCAGGTCGTATTCACCACCTGAAGAGCACAGCTTTCTGAGGGAATCCGAAACGGGTCCAGTGTCAGAAAATATTGAAAGCCTGAGGCTCTGATTTTAGGAGAAAACAGTATTATTTGCCTGCTTTGACTCCAGACCCTCGAAGTAGAAACAAGACTAGGAAGTACTGAGATGTTCCTGGAAAGAGGCTTTCGTGATTGCTGCCTCTGGAGTGTGTCTGCCAAAGTCACGTGTCTTGTGTTACACCTGTGTGTCCGTGCTCACGTCCTGCGCGCACCTCCGTGCCGAGCTTCGGGTGGAGCCTGACCCCAAAGTCCTCCTTCGCGAAGGCAGGGCAGAGGGCTTTCCCCCGCGGCCAGGACCCCTGACTGCTCTGCACGCAGCCATCGGAGCCTCCGAGGCCCTCCCCATCTGCATTGTATTTGAGCTCGCTGCTCACCCTGCTTCCTTAGCCTTGTTCTGCTTTAGTCCAGAGCGAGCAGCTAGCCAGGCGGTACAGCATTTCACCCATGGTTCAGTGTGATACCATCTCCGCCCTGGACATGAAACCCTGATCCTCTCCATCAGCTGCTGGAATGCTGCCTGGGCAGTCTTTTATCTGCTTACCTCAACCCATAAACATCTCGTTCTGATTAGGTGACAAAGGTGTTAGCTTCTGACTCTGATGCTGTCATTCTTTCTCTCTGTGAGATACTGGCTGTGCTCTGACTGAGCAGTGGGGTTTTGTAGGCAGTCCACACGATTCCTCTGTTGTTAGGGGGCTGGGGGGAGGCATGCCGCTCTGGGCAGTGAATTTTCACAGCGGGCAACCTTATTCGCGTTGACCGGTTTCGTGTGCAGGATCTTGAGGCCCACATTCCTTAAGAATGTGCTGTCTCCATCTGGGGATCAGAAGCCCCCCCCTCAACTTTCCTCCCACATGAACCTCCACCCTCCACTTTCTGGCACAGAACCTATGACTTCCAAGCCAGGCCTTTGCCACAAAGCTGACTGTAGTTTCCTTCGGGTCATGCGGAGAGTACTGCTCAGGGAAAACCGGGTCAGACGGTGAATTTTAGGTTTCGAAAGATGCTAGAGAGTCCCGAGTATGAAAACAAGAGCCCCCATACAGCTTGGCCTGAGGGCTACGGAGAGGCTCTTCTCTCTGACCTAGTGTATCTGTAAGAACTGGATGTATTTGATTCCAGGACCTCACCGGGCTTGGAAATTAAGCCAGCTCAAGGTAAGTGGAAATGGAAGACGTGCAGCTGGAGTTCTGCAAAGGGCAGCAGGCTAGGGAAATGGCTGGCCTCTGGAGATGGCCCGGAAATGGCGTAATACACAGACAGGGCTGCACGTGCAGCCAGCCATCTTTGCGTTCCTCTGGAACAGCAGTCCCTGGGTGATGTGGTCAAAGGCCCTGAGTCCTCGCCCCTGACCTTCTCTTCCCATGTATTTAGCTCTACCTACAAGGACTCCAACACCCTGCACCTCCCCACGGAGCGTTTCTCCCCCGTGCGCCGGTTCTCAGATGGGGCTGCAAGCATCCAGGCCTTTAAAGCTCACTTGGAAAAGCTGGCCAACAGCAGCAGCATCAAACAGCTGCAGCAGGTAATGGGAGAGACGGCAGGCACCTCTGGAGAAGCGTGGGGAACGCAGAGCAATAGCGTGGAGGACCGGGGTGGCAAACCTCGGCCCTGTTCGTGTCAAGGTTCAGATCCGTGTAGCTTCCCAACGCTCTTTGCTTACTCCCTGGTATGTACAGCTTTCCCCAGGATCAAACTTGCTCAGCCCACGAGGGTCTGGGTTTTTCTCCTGTCAGTGTAATATTTAGAGAAGGACTTCCGGGCTTGGGTTTCAGTGGGAAGCCCCAGGGAAGATACCTCTAAGCAAGCTTGGCATTCTGCTCCTGACTTCTGGGCACTGGCCGTTGCTAGAACCTGCTCAGTGCTGTTACCGCCCAGCACACCCTCCAGTGGGGAGGGAGTGGCGCTCCCAAAGGAAGGAAGTGTACCTCCAGGCTTGTGTGAAGGGCCACCGTCCTTCCTGCCTCTCTGATGACCAGGCTCCAGGCGACGTGTGCTTCGTATACGGATTGCACACCGGATGCTCTCTCTCACACACGGGCCCCCTTGGCCTTTTCTGTTCACTCACCCAACACGGAAGGTGAATATATTGAGTACACGAATACCCGCATACGTGCGTTAGTTGCTCTCTGAGGACCCCGGTCCTCTCTCGGGGCTTTTTCTGCCCACAGGACCTCGGGGGGCAGGTCTGCATCTGCCGACGTAGCTGCATGCGGGGGCGGGGTGGGGGGCCGGTTGCAGCCCACCTGTATGAGCTGCCTTTCCCTTCAGGAGTGTGAGCAGCTGCAGAAGATGTACGGGGGGCAGGTTGACGAAAGAGCCCTGGAGAAGACCCAGCAGCAGCACGTGCTGTACCAGCAGGAGCAGCACCACCAGATCCTCCAGCAGCAGATCCAGGTGGGCCTCCACTCTCTGCTCTCTCCGGCTTGTGTGGGGCGTGAGGGTTTTGGAGGAGGCCACGCAGGGCAGAGCGGACCTGTGTTTGTGGTTGACGCGTGTGAGGAGAGGTAACCAGACTTTCCGATGAACCGCCAGAGCATGAACCTCAGTCACAGACCGCTGTTTCTGTTTCTGGCCTTCCTGGGAACAGCTCCGATTCATCTTCAGGCTCATGGTCCTTCTTCTCCTTTCCCCCATATGTTTAGGATTCTATCTGTCCTCCTCAGCCTTCTCCACCTCTCCAGGCTGCATGTGAAAATCAGCCAGCCCTCCTCACCCACCAGCTCCAGAGGTAACGAAGCACTTGTTTCACGCCCAGGCCGCTGTCTCTATGGCTCGCCGTCCTTGGCCCGACTCGTATGGGAGACTTGGACTGGCTGTAGCGTTCGTCTCGGAAGAACATATGTGAAAAGTGGAGAGGTCGACTTAAACGTTAGCTGCCTCCCTGAAATCCTGACTTTATTTGGTCCTTGTGCCACTTCATTTTCTTAGCCCCACAGGCAGCAAGACAGGCCCGGACACAGGCCCACTGTGACCTGTGCCTCCCTTTGCAAAGTCTGGGAAGATAAGACGTGGGTGGGTCCTAAATACACTGTGGTAGGTGGTTTATGGATATTTTTCTAGCCCTGAGTCTTATCAAAACTAAAAAAAAAAAAAAAAAAAAAAAAAAAAAAAAAAAAAAGTTTCTGCTTATGTGTATCCTGTGACTGAAAGTAACATCAGGGGTTATATTGTCAGCTCAGGAAATTTACTTATTTATCTGGTTTTGTCTTTTGCTTTTGTTTTGTTTTGTTTTGTTTTTAAGGTTACGGATCCAGCCTTCAAGCCCACCCCCCAGCCACCCCAACAACCATCTCTTCAGACCACCCAGTAATAGTCCTCCCCCCATGAGCGGCGCCATGATCCAGTCTCACGGTGAGTTCAGGGGCTTAGACTGAGCCATGAAAAGCCACCTGGAGAAAATCAGTCCTAGTGTTGAGCGCAATAGGATTTAAGGGTATATATAGGCTCTGGAGTCAGACTGCCTTGGTTTGAATCCTGGTCCCAGCACCTCCTTAGCTGTGCAGCCTCAGATAGGTTACTTAACTTCTGCATGCCTGCACTTTTCCAAATGTAAAAGAGCGAAAATAATAGTATTTAATGAATAAATCTGAAAAGCACTTAGAAGTCTTTGGCACAAGATAGTTCTCGATAAAGGTTAACTGTTATTAATATTTTCGATAAAACCCCCTCCAACCCTACCGAATAAAAAGCTGCTACCAGAACCTTCCCCATTGTCGTGCCTCCATTTGGTTCTCTGTTGCACGTGTGGGATCCTCTCTTGTGGGTGTTTAGGAGGAGGGAAAGATGAGTGTTCCCTAACTGGTATGGGTCTTCAGAGACCGGCGATCTGAGGATTTAGTATTGCCCAAACTGATAGTCTCTTAAGTAACGCCACACGGTGTAGATCCCCTGAGGAGTCTGAATTGGTCTCTGGGCCCTGCCTACTCAATGTGGGGTCCCCCGACCAACAATACCAGCAGGAAAAGTAGAGTCTCAGGTCCCATCTCGAGCCTGCTCAATCACAGTCTGCATTTTAGCAAGATCGCTGGGCCATTTGCATGTATGTGTGAGTTTGATAAGCACTGCCCTAGATCAGAGCTACTCAAAGAATAGTCTGGGACCAGCTCTCAGACAACTTACTTGCAAATACAGATTCTGGGGGTAGGACCCAGGAATCTGTGTTTTACCCAGCCCTCCAGATGAGTCTTCCACACGCTGAAGTTTGTGAAGCACCGATCTAGATGGCATCTGGTTTGAGTGTCCTCATTGGCTCCTGCTGCCTCCAGCTGGCACGCAGCCCAGGCGTTTGGTGACTCTAAGGTTCCTCTCTCTCCAGGTGCTGCGTCGCCCTCCCAGTTTCCGGGCTTACCGTCCCGCAGTGCTGTCTACCAGCAGCAGCCTGAGAACTGCTCCCCCCCTCCCAGCATGGCCCTCACCTGCCTGGGCATACAGCAGCCCGCCCAGTCACAGCAGGTGACCATCCAAGTACAGGAGCCTGTTGACATGCTCGGAGGCATGCCGGGGGCCACTGCGGGCTCTGCCGGGCGGGGCATGTCCATCAGCCCCAGTGCCAGTCAGATTCAGATGCAGCACCGTACCAACCTGATGGCCGCCTTCAGCTATGGGCACCGCCCCCTGTCCAAGCAGCTGAGTGCCGACAGCGCGGAGGCCCACAGGTGAGGCTGCCTGAAGTCACCAGCCATCTGTCTAGGTGGTCCGGGTGGGAGGAAGCCCCTTAGCAGGGTGAGAGGGGAGAAGGGGAGGAGAACTCATCTGGCTGGGCTGTGCCCGTCTCCCCCTTTCTAACGTCAGGGCGGGTGGCTAGGGGGTGAACCTGAAACCTGTTTATTGACAGAGGAGGAAAATGACAAAGCTGCCTTCCTCTGTGTCTGCAAAGAAGAGAATGGCCCTATTAGAGGAATTTCTTAAAATGCCAGTTGTCCCTTGTCTGTCTCCTTAGGCTTCTTTCCCTCCCTGCCACTCTTACTCTAAGAGATTGGTGCTTTAGTCGCTCCGATAATGCTGTACAATAGGCCAAGTTGCCGTCTTCAAGCGGGAGCTGGATCTGTTCCGCACACAGCACCCCGTGTCCCTTGACGTTCCCGGAGAAGCGAATGAGCGGGGGTGGGGCCTGCACGCCCACCTCCCCTGCCGCACCCCAGTTCTCTGTGCCGGGGGCTCCCTGCTGAGGAAGAGTGGTAGCTGGCCCCGGGGGAGTCTAGCGCTCTCGCGACGTGGATGCCTGGTACTCACTCCCTTTTGTGTCTGCAGCTTGAACGTGAATCGGTTCTCCCCTGCTAACTACGACCAGGCGCATTTACACCCCCATCTGTTTTCGGACCAGTCCCGGGGTTCCCCCAGCAGCTACAGCCCTTCAACAGGAGTGGGGTTCCCTCCAACCCAAGCCCTGAAAGTCCCTCCACTTGACCAATCGCCCACCTTCCCTCCCAGCGCACATCAGCAGCCACCGCACTATACTACGTCGGCGCTGCAGCAAGCCCTGCTGTCCCCCACGCCGCCAGACTATACCCGACACCAGCAGGTACCCCACATCCTCCAAGGACTGCTCTCCCCCCGGCACTCACTCACCGGCCACTCGGACATTCGGCTGCCCCCGGCAGAGTTTGCACAGCTCGTTAAAAGGCAGCGGCAGCAGCAGCAGCAGCAGCAGCAGCAGCAGCAGCAGCAGCAGGAGTACCAGGAGCTGTTCAGGCACATGAGCCAGGGGGACGCTGGGAGTCTGGCTCCCGGTCTCGGGGGACAGAATATGACAGAGCGCCAGGCTTTATCGTATCAGAATGCTGACTCGTATCACCACCACCACACCAGCCCCCAGCACCTTCTCCAAATCAGGGCACAGGAACGCATGGCTCAGGCTTCCTCCCCCAGCCCGGCCCATGGGTACGCTCACCAGCCAGTGCTCACGCACTCGGAGAGCATGGAAGAGGAGGACCCCTGTGAGGCGGCCAAGGATGGCTTTCCAGACAGGACGAGCCCCAATACAGCGACCAGAGGTTGCCGTGACAGCACCCTACTCTTGAGTACTGGCGGACCCGGGGACCCCGAATCTTTACTGGGAACTGTGAGCCACGCACAGGAATTGGGGGTACATCCCTACCGGCATCAGCCACCTGCTGCATTCGGTAGAAACAAGGTGTCCAGCCGAGGTAAGAGTCCCTTCGATGTAAAAGTCCCAGGCCTGTCTGTCCTCATTCACTTAACTCAGTGATGGTATCTTTTCCCAGCCAGGGCTCTGTGTTCCTAGGAGGAAAAGAATTCCTGAGAAGTCCTTCGGGACCTTCCAGGGGAGAAATATACAGGGCACGGGTACCGTTTGGTAAGGCGTCTGCTTTCAGAATGAAGAGGTAGCGATAGAAAACTAACACTTAGATAGCACAGCCGGTGGGAATAGTTCCCGTTTCCCCTAGTCACACCATGGCTCCTAGGAATCCAGAATTTCCTGTCTTCAGGAACACAGTCAGCCAGCGCTAGGGGAAGTATGACTTCGTGTAAGTCGTGTTGGACCAAGAGTCAAAAGAGCACCTCCGTTCTGGACTCACCTCTATCACAAAGGCGATAACTTGTCGCTTAATCCCTTGGGTTCATATTTTTCTCACCTGTGAAAAATGGGCAGGAGGAATAATGGCGCACGAGAGAAGCGCGTGCTGCTCCGAAACATGATGTAAACGCGAGGCGTTGTTACTACTCTGCTCAGCTCATTCGTGAGCAGAATACAGAATATCACAGCATCGTAAGGGGCCCCATGTGCATCATCCTACGTCGCTTTATATAATGGATGAGTGCGTTCGTTCGTTTCCATCCTGAAGGAGATCAGGATAACCAGCCACCGGTCATACTTGGAAAATCTGGTTCCGTTGGCATCCTAGAAACAATCTGCCCTGATTCCGTCCCCTCCACACAGATCATGGGACATGAGTTAATCCAGGAAAGGTAGAGCCTTGAAACCGAGCGGATCCCCCATCCTTCCCCTCTCGGAGCTACCTGCGTCTTCTGTCCTGTCCTTTAAGGTCAATGCACAAACTCCTAGGGGAATTAGGTTCCATGGCACAGAGTTGGACAGAAGGCCTGGCTCTGAATCCGTTTATGAAGAGGACTTGGCACTTCCCGGCTGTGCTTATTGATGCACCGATAGGGGTGGCCATGTGGTTGCATAGGACAGTTTAAAAATCCTGGGCTTTGGAACAAATGGGTGCCATCTAGCTTAGAGGCCTGCATCAGGCAGGCATACTGTATTCACTTGTGGCTGCTGTGTTTGTAGGTGGACAAAGGATTGTGGGAGATTCCGGAACCAGGTCCTATGTGGAATGGCTAACAGACCTGGTGGGGATGTTTAAGCTTAGGGGAAAAAAGAGTAAGGAGAACCATCGTATGTATCAGAGGGAAGGAGGGATTAGACTCTTTGGGTCCATATCACGGGCCAGGACCAAGAACAGGATAGAAGTTGCAATAAGTGTCAACTCCTGGGGAAGACTGTAATAAGAACTTTCCAGAATAAGCCACCCTAGCGCCTCGGAGCCTCTTGTCACTGGGAGTGTTCCAGCAGAGGCAGGGTGATAGTATCAGGAATAGTGTGGAAAGGCTTCCTGTGTGAAGGAAAGCTTTCACCAGATTAGCATCCTATATTTGGCATAAAAAAGAGAATGGCCAACATCTCTACGGTGTCGTCCATGTGCCAGACACCCACTGCTATTCGTACGGAAATTCACTTAATCCTCATAACAACCCCATGAGGCAGTAGCTCTTCCTGTCCCCATTTTACCAGTGAGACAAATGAGGCACAGGTTATGTAATTCGCCCCCAAGGTCAACTGCTGTTAAGTGGCACCGAACCCAAGAGTTACTCTCAGCTCACTGCAGCAGGTGCTGACCCAGCATGTCCTGGTGTGCAAGGCAATGAGGAAGGAGCGAAGCTGGAGCAAATAGTGTAAACCCCCTGCTCCCCCCAGCCTGCGTTGCCATGTATGAAAACACCTTTGGAAATGTTTTTCTTCAAAGATGCTAACTTCTCTTCGGTTTTCCCTCCTGTGTGACTCCTGTGTACAGAAAGGCCAGGGGGGCTTAACACCTGTATCCCATCATTGTCAGAGTATCGCCCCCCCTTGCCAGGGGTGCTGGTCTACTGGGTACCTAAAGCGAGGCAGAATGTAGCTGGCTGGTACGAGAGCTTTGGGAACACCAGATGGGGGACAGAAGGTTCTCAGTCAGAGGAGTGGGGTTTCCAGCATTAAGTGCTCTTTGAGTTGGGTCTTGGTGGATGGAGAGGAATTTCCCATTTGGCTGGAGCGGAGACGCAGGGGGTGGGACCAGTGGGTGGGAAGG